AAACCCCAATCCCGATGGCAAACCCCGAGGGGGGGGCTTGTTTTAAAACGTCGTTGCCAAGCGACGAAAACCCAAACCCGGTTGCCAAACCCGGGGGGGGGGCGGCTTGTTTTACAACGTCGTTGCCAAGCGACGAAAACCCAACCCCGATGGCAAACACCAGGGGGGGGGGGGAATCCTGTGCAATCGCCAGAGCGGAAAATATCCGGGTTCTTTGCTTTGTGGTGGGCAGTGGTTCGTCGAAATGCCGCCGATTTGAAACGCCGGGAGAGGGTAAGAGACCTCTCAGGTAGTTATAGAGCGTTTTCTACGACATTAAACAAGGACATATGCATGGGGTGGGCACGTACAAACGCAGGCACAGGCGGCGCCCAAGCTGCTCTGTTGTTTTCGGCATATGCTTGGGTGTATCTGCGACATGGGAGGGGGTGTACTCATGTACACGCATGCCGTAGTCGATAGACCACAGCGGGGGGGAGAGGGGAGAAAATGCATGTAGTATCATGTATCCCCGCGTCTCATATATAGACCTAAACACACAAAGGGCAGAGCAAATATCGAAACCTTGCGCACCGAGTATACGTAGCATGGGGGCGACGACGCCAAGTGATGTACGAAAATAGTGGCATCGAGCACAACACCACCGTTACGCGCCGAACCGCAACATAAAAGCAACAAAAACGAGGGCGATAAAACAAGACGACGGTGAGAGAGTAGACAGAGCAAGGCACAGAGAGGGGGGGAAAACACTCAACACCAACGAGAATGAATATTGATACTAGAAAACACGCTGGGAACCGTGATTGGTATTCTTCTTTCATGCGAACCGTGATTGGTATTCTTTTTTCGTGCTCGATGGCAAAGCAAAAGGAGCGATGATTGGTTCCAGATCATGACCTTTAGATGCGCTTCATGTTGTTACGTCCCGCCGAAGGACCGGATAGCCGGTTATGTAGCGCGGTCGATGCTACTTAAACAGAACACATACACGCACACGCCGGGGCGGGTAAGGCGACAAGTGAGAGACAAAACAAACCAAACTAAATACCTGGATCTCGGCCACGGCCAGTTCGGAGATGCCCGGGGTAACGAATTGCAAAGACTTCCTAGCTTCGTCCATCTCGCCCGAGAAGACCAGCCATCTTTTGGTGACGCCACATTGTGGTATGACATGTACCACGGGGAATAGATCGAGGGAAGGACGGGGGGGGGGGGGGGGAAACCGGCAACGGGAAAAAAAACAAAAGGGGGCGGA